CCGTTTGGTCCATGACATCAGCAGCACCAGTAGGTCTAGAAAGAATCTATCCAAGTCGAGTATGAATAGCTGTAGGTCCATCTTGATTCCGTAAAATGCATCCAGTTACTAAGGTCCAGTAGTAGTCTGATCCAATGAGTACATCTATGTCCAGTTCAGCTCCAGAGGTCGAAGAATCAGCTAAATCCAGTCCAGAAAGATAATCATAGGTCCGTTGAGTAAGAGAAATAAGTTGATGACAAACAGGATCACAACAACAAGGGCGGTGATATAAATCATAGCTCCATCCTTAGCCTTGATACTAAATTCCACAACATCACAGTTCCGTGTGCTTCCTTGTTTAGATCCAAAGGTCTTGTTGAAGACATTTTCTGTTCTTAGTGGTTTGAGAGAGAGAGCATGCTGAACTTGCTTCGTCACATAAGTGCGTTGACTTCCACTATCCAGTATAAGGCGCGCTCCCATTAAAGGTTGTTCCATAGATGGGTTTCCAATCTGGCTCCTTGCAGTCTGTAGAAGTATAGGCGTCTGAGAGTCTACACATGTGTAATTAATGGTAGTACTAGAGGGAGCTGGTGTATGCATAGTCGTGTGATGTGCGTGCGTCTGTGTTGTAGGAATTGAAGAATTAGGTCGTTCTGTGGTTGTAGTCCTTTGAGTAGGCGGCACACAAATGATATGATGGTGGCATCCAGAACAGTCTTCACACTTCATGTTAGAACGGCAGTCCTTGCATATGTGACCTCTACGTAAACAGATAAAACAGCATCTAGCTCTCACAAGGATTCGTTTTCGATCTCCAGCAGCACTAACAGAACGACAAGAACTTAAAGAATGAGTCTGACTACAGTAAACACAGCTAACTTGATTAGATGTCATGAAGGAATTGAGTGTAGGCATTGGTTTTTTTGACAGCAATGTCTTAAATGAGACTTTCCTAGTAGAATGATAAGATCCAATGGTGACAGCAGCACATTCTCTAGCTATAACTTCATTTTCAAAAATTTCCAGTATAGTATCAGAGTCCAATCGTCTTCTGCAAGTTTCCGACTGATTATTAAACAGAGTTCTTGAGGTAACTTATTCATGAGTATAGACATCAACAATTCCCCGTAGGAAGCAGTGGCGTAGCCAGGATTTTTGGGAGGGGGCAAGCTGTGCGGCGCGCGAAGCGCGCTGCGAAATTTTGCGAAACCACGCCCTTTTAAGGCGTGGCCACACCTATTTTTCAACATGGCGGACTTCTAGACCAATCATAGGCAACGTTGAATACCTTTTCAGCCTTATAATGGCATCATAGAAAGACTGCTTTGGCCTTTTCCTTTCATATGTAAGTTGTAGAACAGCTTTTCTTTCCAAAAGCAGCTTATTATTTGATTATTTTTAAATTTTGAGTTTTAAAAAATGGGGGGCAATTGCCCCCCTTGCCCCCCCCTGGCTACGCCCCTGGGAAGCAGGAGATACTCCTAAAGCCTAGAGTCCTCTGACGTGAGATTCCACGGTGTCATAGAGACGGCGAAGAGATTTAGTATTGTTGACAGACGAGATAGTGTCCAAGTTCCATAACCAATCCAAGTGTTTTCCTATGATAAATCTCTCATTACCAAATCTCCTTTGAAGAACAGCAACGGCTTCTTTGTAATTTGAAGCAAGAAGAGTCATTGCAGAAATGGCATCAGAGGCCGCAGATTCCAATAAAGACTTCAAGTAAATGAACTTCTCAATGTCTGTGAGCGTCACATTCTTGTAAACAGATGATTCGACGACATCCCAGAACAAGCTCCATTTTGTTAAGTTGCCATCAAATTTACTCAAGGTGATCTCGGGCAACCTGATCCGAGGTACAGCAAGTGTGTGCATAGTGGTACGGAGTGTGTGCTTGGGTAAAGAGCTATCAACGGGCAGTGAAACTGATGATGAGTCGACGGAGTCCGTGGGGGGTGTGTGCGTAGGAGTGTGAGATGTATGCATGTGTGTATCCTCAGTGTGAGGATCTGAAGGAGAATGATCAGCATCTATAGGCATAGGCGGCTGCAGGGTCGGGCATTTAGGGGCAATGCCCGACCAAAAATTCTGACCGGAAGTGTGACATCACCATAATTAATAGTTGTTCTATGGTTAATTAATAGTTAATAACAGTTATTGCAATTATAATTTAAATTTTTTTGAAAATCTTATAATTATTATGAATGCATAAATGGCAGGCTGATAACAAGGTGAAGAGAGACTGAATAAAGGAGGAGGTGGTAAGACTTTGGTGCCAATCACAGTGGGCCACCACAGCAACACTAGAAAGCATAATCATTTCATTATTTAGTGCTATTTCAGTGTTCTTTTCTTGTCAGTTGCAATGTCTAAAAGCCTGGA